GAGAGAGCACACGCACAGCTGAAGAGGGAGAAGCAGGCGCCCCCTGAGAAGGGAGCCCAATGTGGGACTCGATCCCAGGACCCTGAGATGATGACCACAGCCGAAGGCAGAGGCTTAACCGACTGAGCCACCCAGGCGCCCCAGGAAAGGTGGTTTGAATAAAACAATACGAAGAAAGAAAGACAATTTGTGAGCCTGTAGTTCCAACTCAAGCTATAGGCACAGAAGTTCAATCTTGCCACGGGGCACAGTTTCAGAACACAGTAGGTCACATCTGCCTGGTCCCAGAAATGAGAGACCTATTCCTCTACTCACTAGGAAGGGAACAGATCAAAAATAAACACAGTATTCCATCTGTATATTCCTGAGAGGGAGAAAGTGTGACAGCTCCACCTTACAAGGAAATGGGCTGAGATGAAAACCACGCACTCCCACATTCCCTGAGGACACGCTCCAAAGTGATGGCCCATTGCCCTCTGTCCTCCTGCCCTGTGGAGTCACCCTTCTGGTTCACTTTTTCAACCAACCATCTTCCCCACTAGAACGGAAGCTCCCCGAGGGCAGGGCTTTTACCCTTATTCGCTGATGTTTTCGGGGCCTGGCACAGAACCTGGCATCTAATAGGAATTCAAGAGACATCTGTTAAATCATGAAGTACGTCTGAAGGTTCTGGTTCCAGTTCTGCCGCTGACCAACACTGTGACCTTGGAGAAGTCATTTCATCTCCTGTGGCATTTTTAAAAGAAAAAAAGTAGGGATGCCTGGGTGACTCAGTCGATTAAGGGTATGCCTTTGGCTTGGGTCATGATCCTGGGGTCCTGGAACTGAGTCCCACCATCGGGCTCCCTGCTCAGCGGGAGCCTACTTCTCCCTCTGCCCCGCCCCTCCCCCTGCTCACACCCTCTCTCTACCTCTAAGCAATAAAGAAAATCTTTTAAAAATTATAAAAATTAAAAAAAAATGTAAAAAGTGTTCAGCCAGATAATCCTTTACAGTGCTTCAATACTGTGATTTTACGTATGCTCGGAACCATAACCATAACATGAGGCCAAATGGAGTATAAACCAGAGCGCAGGGGGTAACTGTCACATTTCCTGTCCGCCAGCACCTTTTGAACATCCTTCCTCTGTTTAGAGGATGTGCCACCTCGTGAGTCCTGCCTCTCCCAAGAGGAAACTAAAAGCTCACTTGCCCAGCCTTCCTTTCCGTCGGGATCAGCCCTCTGACTTGGGTCCTGCCTGTGAGATACACCTTTGAGAAATTCGTTCAGAGGTGGGGGACACGAGGCAACAGGTAGGTTGTCTTGGCTGTGTGTTTTGGGGGGAGGCTGCGGGGGCAGAGTTCCTGCCTTCTGGGCTCCCCGGCAGCCCCCCCTCGGAGCAGTCGGCGCTGGGCAGGAGCAGCAAGGGGGCTCAGTGTGGCTCCCCACGTGTGGAGTATGGAAGGAATGGGAGGAAACAGTGTTTCACTGTGGAAAGAGCAAGGTTTTGTGGAAGGATCACAGACTTGATCCAAATCCTGCTGCCACTCACCAGCTGGGCCCCTTGAAACACCTGCATAACCGCTGGAGCCCCAGTTTCACCATCTTTAAAGTGGTCATTGTCCAAGGTCACTCACAGCCTCTAAGAGTAGGAGTTTTTAGCTGCCACAATCCCCCAGGGACATCTGCTGGTGCGTTTTGCCTCCAGATGACTGGGTTGACATGAGGCTTGAAATTATGGGTAAAATTAAGTTAATTTATAGGGTTGCTTGAAGATAAAACTGAGATATAAGATTAGTAACAGAGACAAAAAAGTCAACTAACATAGGGCAATCTTTTCCAGATGTATCCACAGGCCCAGGGACATTACTATCCAGTCAACTCTTGGTTTCGGCTCAGGTCATGATCTCCTGATGGTGGGATCTAGCCCTGCATCAGGCCCCACGCAGTGGGGAATCTGCTTGAGATTCTCTCCCCCTGTCCCTTCCTCCCCAACCCCCCCCCATCACCTCCTTCACCTGCTCTTTCTCTAGAGTGGGTAAATAAATAATTTCTTAATTTTTAAAAAATATTTTTATTTGTATTTTTAAAGATTTTTCAATCTTGAAATTTTAAATTTTGATTTAAATTTTAAATCTTTCTCTAGAGTGGGTAAATAAATCTTGTATTTATTTATTAGAGAGAGAGAGAAATAGCAAGAGAAAGCATGAGTCGGAGGGGTTATGAGAGGGAGAAGCAGGCTCCCTGCTGAGTAGGGAGTCTAAAATGAGGCTTGATCCCAGGACTCTGGGAGTATGACCAGAGCCAAAGGCAGATGCTTAACTGACTGAGCCACCTAGATGCCCCAATAAATCTTCTTCTTCTTTTTTTTTTAAAGATTCCATTTATTTATTTATTTGACAGAGAAACAGAGAGAACAAGCAGGGGGAGCAGCAGTGGGAGGGGGAGCAGGCTCCCCGCTGAGCAAGGAGCCTGATGCAGGGCTCAATCCCAGGACCCTGAGATCATGACCTGAGTCAAAGGCAGACACTTAACTGACTGAGCCACCCAGGTGCCCCTAAATATTTTTTTAAAAGAAAGAATATTGAAAGAACTAATGGGCAGAAATAATTGCACTTGAAAATTGATTTGAATACCTAGAGTTCTTTACAGAAACTCTCAGGAGCTTAGGAGCTTCTAAGTACTTATGAAATTAAAGAAATACACTCTTTCTTGTGCAAGTCCTCATCACCTGGAAATAATGCTATAATAAAGTCACAAAGAAGCAAACAAATGGGTCTCCCACCACCCTCCTTTTTCCAGCTGTCCTCCCTGACTCCTGATACCAGGTGGGGAAGCATTTTTCTAAGTTTCTCAACTGTTACACTGCTACCATGTATTTATTCTAATTTCCTCTTCAAGTTTATATTTCCTATTCCTGCCTCCTAAATATGGGTTTTCCTGAGGCATAGGCCTTGGCCTTCTGCTCCTCTCTATATATACTTTCTCCTTTGGAAAGATCATATACGCTGATGATTTCAACTGTTGTTTCTTCACGGATGACTCACACATTTACATATTTAGGCACAACCTCTCTTTCTTCAGCTTTAGTCCCGTATTCCTAACATGCCATCACAAATTCTACAAATCTTTCTGAGCACAGTGCTAACTTCTGCTTTAAATTAACTCACCCTAGGGGGTCCCTGTGTGCCTGGGCAGCTCAGTCAGTTAAGCCTCTGACTCTCGGTTTCAACTCAGGTCATGATTTCAGGGGTGTGGGGTTGAGCCCCGTATCTGACTCTGCCCTTGCACGGAGTTGGCCTGGGTTGAGATTTCTCTCTCCCTCTGCCCCTCCCCTGCTTTCGCTCAAAGAAATAAAACCCACTCACCCTATGGCTATCCCTTCTCAGTCCCAATTTCCCAGGTTTACAGGGCTGCAGTTTTCCCTGATTCTTCCTAATCCTTTTCGCCCACCATCCACTCCGTTACTAAGGAGAGTGTTAACTCGAGTTACTGCAACCTTGCTCTTCCCCTCTCACCTTTACTATCCCACACAGACACTACCAGAGCTCCTCATCCATACTGTCCTAGCCACTTTTGCTGGCTCAGTGTTTGTAAAACATGGCTTGGACCGCTCACAGCTCCACTTTCATTCCACGTTTATTGAGGGCTCGCTTTGGGCAAAGCACAACATTACACATTCCAGAACGTAGGAATGATAAGGGTCTGTTTACAGTCTAGTATGGGGAAGAGTTGTACACAATTTTAGTTCAAAATTAGAAAGTGGTACTATCTGAATGAATGAAGAATGGTCCAGAAAGTAGGATGGACATTCAGCAGGAAAGAAAATTTATTTCTAGATGGAGAGGTCACATTTATCTGGCTTTAAAGACTGGACAGAATCTCAGCATCCTTAGAAGATGGGAGGGGAGGGTAATCCAAGGAGAAAGAGACAGGAGCGGTCTTTAGAAAGGTAATGGGTAATTCATTCAAGAAGTGCTTCCTGCGACCTTGCCGAGGGCAAGGAAGAACGAAAGGAGAACAGCAAAAAATGAAGTTAGAGTTTTTAAACCAAGTTAATAAATCTGGCCTTTAACCTACAGGCAACAGGGAGCCAGGGAAGATTTTTGGTCACAGTGAAGATCACAGCAGCTCTGTCAGCTGGGCCGGCGGCAAGTGACGCCGGAGGAAGGGTACCTAGGAGAAAAGCCGTGCGTTTTCCCCGTTCAGGGCTGGTAATGAGAACGTGGAGAGGGTGGACGGTGGGTAAGGAGAGTGGATGCCGGCACTCCTGCAGAGGTAGGATCGACAGAACTCGTCAACGGACGGCAGTCAGTCAAGGGAGGAAAATGTCAATTGCGGACATCCAAGTGTCCAAGTCGAAACCGGTGGTCACGCTAACAAAGCGGGTGCGCCGTCTGGAAGGACGGGGCCCGGTTACATGTGGGAAGTCCCGCGGGCACGACCGCAGAACATCCGGGAAGGAACGGCCAAGACGCTTGGCGGCAGCTGAGCGCCGACGAAGTCAGCTGGTGCAGAGGGGTGTTTCGGCAAAAACCGGTTCAGAACGGACGACTGACACCGTCCTCCCGCCGGGCGAGGGGCGTGGCACCGCCGAGGCCCTCCACTCGAGCCCGCCGTCCCCGGCAGTCCTCGCCTCGCCGGAAGTGGCCTCCCCCCTTCTCTCCGCATATTTCCTGAACGCCTGTCCCCACCCGTCACTGGCGCCCAGCCAGGGGGACACTTCACACACACATCCCAGGGAGCGAAGGCTGAGAGCGCCAGCGAATCTTGCCCTCCGGCTCACCGCCCGCGCTGTCCGCACGTCGCCCCGATTAACCGCGACTGCGAAGAAGCCGCAAGGCGAGCCCGCGCTCTCGCGATACCTGGTGGGCCCGCCCCCGCGCCTGCCCGCCGGAAGCGGAAGTGGGGCGAATGTCGGCTTGTCGTTCGAGTGGCTGCGTTACCTTGGAGAGCAGAAGTGGCGGGCCATCTTTTGGCCGCGGTGTGGGCCGGAGGTGGGTGTTCCTGCGTGTGTGGCGGGCGGGGTGCGGCCCGAGAGGGATGGACGCGGCCGTCGGCGGGCCGGTCGCCGGTTGGGGAGGCCACGGGGAGCAGGGAGCCGGGCGGGCCGAGCCGAGAGGCCCCACGGAGCGGGAACCCCTGTCCGCCTCCACCGGCCGTCGCGGCCGGGGCGCTGAGGGGCCCCGGGAAGGAGCAGACCTGTCAGGACCGTGGTGGGCAAGCCCTGCCGGGCCCTGCTGGCTGTCTGCGTCCGTCTCCCGGGCAGCGAAGGCCCAGGCAGGCGGTCGCGTCCGGCGCCAGTCGGCCGCGGGCAGCTGCGGGTGGTGTTACTGGCACAGAAACGAGTGGTGTCGGAGGACGAGTCTGAAGCGCGGCCCCCTCCTGTCCACGAGGAGAACGGAGCTCGTTCCCGGTAGCGCTCGGACTAGCGCACTGGTTTAGGAGGCCCGGCGGGCGCTTGTAACCAGCCGCCCCCCCCATTCTTCTGAGGGTTCCTTGGAGGGAATCAAGCGGGTTTTTGCCTCCCTCAGATCGAAACAGCGTAAACATTAACCACTGCAGCTGCCTCAGATCGCTCGGGTAAGTAAAGCTGGATCCACCGGAATTCTGTTTAACTCTCTCAGGAGCGCGCGTGAAGACGCTTGCCCACCTGTGGGAGGGGTCGTGGGAGTCGCGCCGTGCCTTGCCCTATGACCTCTCCTCCCTGTCTGGGGGGTGTGGGCCGCCCTTCTGAGATTCCCGGATTCCTGTGGAAGTCCAGGCGCGGTTTTCCGTAGCCGAACTGACGACGACACACCAGTCAGCCAGTCCCAGACACACTGGGAGAAAGAGAACGCGTCGGGGTGGTGCCTCTTGCACCCGCACGGCAGTCTTGGTGTCGGTTTGCTGGGGTAAGGGCAGGAGTGTACACACTGGCGCATGTTTGAGGGATCCCGGGGAGAACCAAGGAAGACGCGGTCTTCCACCATCGCGTGTGTTTGTCAAAGGTAAAGTAACCCGGAGGAAAAGTAACCGTCGGATGTCAGGCGAGAGGCGAGATTCAGTTTAGTTTTAGCATGTCCCACACGCCCGAATCATGAAGCAGGCTTTAGGAGTCGGAGGCGGAGAGTAGAGCAACGAGAAGATGAAGTTAGGGTTAGGAGAGGCGGGGGATGGGAGTACTGACCACCGCTTGGCCGAGGAAGACGGCAAGGGGGCTACCTACAGAATACTGATGGGGCTTCCAGGCCGTGCATAAGGATGAAGAGAAGTGAACTCTTGGTCCCCTGGCTTCTCAAGGATGAGGCTCTTGTGGCCTGAGCCAAATCTTTCCTCAGAGGTAGAGGGTCTCTGAGAATGTGGGTGCAGAAATACTACTCGGCCTGCAGAACCCAGCTGATAAGAGGTTTCAGGTTTTTGTTTTTTTTTTTTTTTAGCTGTTAGATAGTATTTATCATATTTTTCATTTTGTTCCAGAGTAAGACTACATTGGATGCCTCTATAAAGTACCCCAGAGTTGAGTAGCTGTTCATTTAAATGCCTATTTGCCTTTCCATTTTCGCATCTTTCCTATATTTTCAGTTTCTCTTTCTTACTGGTTTTCTTTTCCTATAAACAACCTCAGCGACACTGTCCTGGGAAGACTGGAGGTCCTCATCCAGTAACCCCTTTGCTACTACTCTTTTTCTCTCGTGTTCAGTGAAGCATTTCGAAAGCTCACTCTAATCCATGTAGATTTCTAGTTCCTTAGCTTCCAGTTACTTCTCAATGAACTGCCATCCTGCTTCAATTCCAAGTACTCTAACATAATGACCTCCTGATGGCTAAGTCCAGTTAATTTTCTGCTCTTGGTTCTGTCACTGTGCCATTCCACACTGAGGAACATTCACTCTATTCTTCTGCCTCCTGCGGGAAGCTCTTGTGCATCTGATCTGTGTGTATTCTCCTCTTATCCCTTCTTTATCTCCAACTTCCTTATAGGTCAGTGTGCTCCAGGATTCTGTCCCTCGATACACTTCTTATTCCACAGCCTTCCTGAGAAATCTCATCCCCTCTCACAGCATTAACCATCAACAAAATTGCTGACGTCTCCCATATGTATCATCACCCTAGTTCTCAGTCCCAAAATGGGTAACTGGGAGCTGGTTCTCCCATGTGGATGTACATCCCATAACTAACTTCAGACTCCATATCCTCACCCAGCCTTTTTCCTGTGGTTCCTATGGCACCACAGCCCATCCGGTCATTTGGCTAGAAGTCTGAAAGTTATCCTTTATACCCGCCCCCGCAACATCTAGTCAGTCAGTCCATTAGTCAGTGTAGTCCAATGTAGTCAGTCCATTAATTTCTAATGGAATTCCTACCAAACTGCGTGCGCGGTTGCTGCCTCAGATTCAGCCCTGCAGTCCTGCAGCAGTCTGCCTTTGGTCGGTCGTCACGAGTCTCTTCCCTACCGTGTTAGCAGAGCTCCTTCTAAGTAGTTAGTTTGCCCTAGAGGCCTCCCTGCTTAAACCACTAGGCTGAAGACTTCCCCTTTCCTACCAGAATAACGGCAGGGTTGTTTGCCTGGAACACAGTTTTTCACAGTTTGGGCCCTGCCCATTTTTCCAGCTTTGTTTCTGGACATTCACTGATCCTCCCTAAGTATCTGACCAGGTCTGTCTCTTACACTAGACTGAGAGCTCTTTGGGGGTGGGGGGGTGGAGGCCCCAATATATCGTTCATCTTTATATCCCAGGTGCCAGTTAGCACAATGCCTGCGGTACTGAAGTCAGGAAATACTGAATGAAGTATCTAAAACCATCTTAAATTTAAAAGTATACAAAGACTTTTACGCGTACCTTGCCTAAATTGTTCATTTCTTGGTTTTTCACTGTCAAGTGAGAGAGTATTATATTTTTAAAAATTCTCATAGAAACCTATTAAAAACTGTGCAGAATTTCAGGATGACAGACACTTCTGAAGCTGTTCCCAACTTTGAAGAGATGTTTGCCAGCAGATTCACAGAAGCTGACAAAGAGTACCAGGATTACCTGCAACGCCCTCCCGAGCCCCCGCCGGTCGTCGAGGAATGGACTAGCAGAGCTGGTGGGAACCAGAGGAACAGAGGCAGTCGGTATGTGTTACTTCAGGAGACGCAGGTGGCTGATGGGGGAGAGTACGGCTTTGCTCCGTGTGCCCGTTAAGGCCAGTGAGGCCAGGGACCAGTGTTTCTGTTCAGAACCTATACCTTGTGCCTAGTCACTGCCTGCACACAGTGAGTGGCTGATAAAGATTTACTTTGTTTTGTCAGCCCCCTGTGTTTTTTCCCTTGCTGTTCAGTTGTATATGTGTTTAATGTTGTTTTTTAAAATATTCTTTCTGTAGACTAACATCTTATTTTCTCTGCCAATATATTCTATGAACCTAGAGTTTTCTACAAAACTTTGTGCTAGGTTCCATAAAGAAGGCCTTGTCTTTCTTTGGTTTTACTTTAACAAAGTTATACAGTGGGATTTCTTCTATTTCATAATTCAGAATAGCTCTTGTACAATCGAACAGACCTCAGTTTGACTCAGAACTGTCCTATTTTTGTGAGTTTCGTGTTGTGGTCTGCCTACTTCTCTGCAAAGTGTATCCAGTATAATACTGGAAGAATGATTTAAATCTTAGGAAAGTTATGAATAACTGTTGCTACATATAACATTCTTCAGAGAAAAGTGTTTTTTACACTTTTGTTTATGGAGTATGAGGTTGAGAAATGAAATGCAGTGGGATAGATTTGTCATTTGTATTTTTTTAAAAAGGAAGTATAAAAATCTTTTTGTTTTGTTGTTGTAGGTTGCAAGATAACAGACAGTTTAGAGGTAGGGATAGCAGACGGGGGTGGCCAAGTGACAATCGATCTAATCAGTGGCACGGACGATCCTGGGGTAACAATTACCCGCAGCACAGACAAGAACCTTACTACCCCCACCAATACGGACACTATGGTTACAACCAACGGCCTCCCTATGGTTACTACTGATGGAAACGTCAGCAGCTTTTTGTGAAATCATTTCCTCTGTTAACATGACAAGTTTGTGTGTATCTTCTGTTGGTCATAGTTTTATATCTGATTTCAGAGAGTGGATTATAAACTTTTTAGAACTTGTGACTTAAAAAAAAAAATCTTACTAGAGATGTGCTGGTTCAGTATTCCCCTAAAAAGGTTGTGGATTCCATTGCCTGACTTCTACCTCAGATTCTTCTTTGTTTCATGACTTAATACTGCTTTGAACTTGGTGTCTGTGTTCCTTGTTTGACCTCCAAGAGTTCCGTCTTTGTTTTACAGAGAAATAAAAATTATAAAGTGGAAAATGCTTGATTTTACTTTGTAAGATAAGGAAGTATCCGTATACTCAGATTTTCTCATTCCCAAATTTTTACAGTGGTTAGTACAGTTAACTCACGAATGCACAACTATGCGCACTTGTAACGTGTTGTACACGGCATCAGCAGTTGAAGGTAAAACGACTGTAGATGCTTCTTTTGGCTTTCGTTGTTGTGACTGTGGTATTTTTTATCATTACTCCAGGTAACAGTGACATCCACAATCACTTTGGTCTCTTTTTAGAGAATGTCAAAAATAAAACCTTAAACTGGGGAAGGGAACATTCTCAGTTTCAGTGTCTTGAGCTAGTGGTGCGTGAGATTGGGGCACACAGTCATTTTGTTACAAACCGTGAGGCTTTTTGCTAAGTTAAAGCAGATCAAAATTCACATGTTCTAAAAGAAAGTTTAACTCTGTAAATGTTCTCCTTTCCTTTTCAGTAGTGTGTATATAATGCTGCATTCCGACTACGTACTTTTATGTACTTATGTGAATTGATCGTACAATGTTATATTCACTTCCAAACGTGCATCTTTACTGCTTCCTCTCGTACAAATACCGTGATGCCAGAACTTCCTCTCAGACCGATCAGTATATTCCAGATCATTTTAATGGCCATTTCAGTGCTTTCATTCAAATAAAGTACTTACAAGATTAAGCAATTTCTCTCTCAAGTTTTGGCAGTTAGACCATGCATTAATGTGATGAACCTTTTGGTTTTTTATTGCTGTTTCCTTTATATCTGTTGAAAAGGCTTATTTGGCTTAAGAGTAATATTAAGAGTAGAAGCTTCATCATAGGGAAAAGGAGTATAAAGGCAACTCCCTAAACCTGCCTTCTGCTGCCTTCTCTCTTAGCACTGCACTTTAGGCCCTTGAGGTTGACTTCTCCAGGCACTACTTCTCCATGCTCTGGACCCAAATCTCCCCTCTACTCCCCTTCATGAAGAGCCGTCCTTTCAGGTAACTCTTTGATTAGAAAGGATCTAATAAATCAGGTCTTCACACTGAGATGTAAATAAAATTTTAACAGTAAGATAAGGGTTTCCCTATACCCCTCTGATTACATCAGTAGGCACAGTACTGTTACTTCTCTTTCTTGGTACTGCAGATATGTAGCCTAGAGAGTCCAGAACGGCCTCACTGCACACCATGATCTTCTCTGCAGGCGCGTGGGTTATTAAAACTACCCATCAAGTGACAAAGCACAGGCACTGACTCACTGGGGTGGCAGCGGCCACAGCTTTAGAGCAGGACCCTCAGGGCTGTCTGCCGTGCCGGCTGCTGGCACTACTTAGGGGGACCTGTGGGCCCACGGGGCAGGGCTTGGAGTGAGGGATGGGTCTCCAAGGAAAGGTTATTTTCCAATAGTATTGAAATATTCACAGATGGCCTGAGTATCAGCCCTGCTGGAAAATACGATGAGTCCTTTTAATATGAATTATTTCTGTATTCTGCATGAACAGCCCATGTGGTAGTGGTTTGTCTTTTTTTTTTTTTAAACAGTCACCATTAGACTCCCCTCTATGCTTAAAACGAGAGGAAATAAAAGTCATGGTTTCTGCTTCATGTGGGAGAGACAGAAAATGACATTAAAAATCTTAAGGAAAATTCAGAGAATGATCTGAAGAAAGAATTAAAATAGTGTTAAATGGAATTAATCTCAACTAGTCTGTTGTAATAGCCTATAGCATTAAGCCCAAGGAGCCCTGGCTTCCAGTCCTGTTTTTACCAGGTAGAGGACCTTGAGAAAAATCAGTTAAGCATGGACCTTACGTGCTCACCTGTAAAACTGAGGAAAATACCCTGCCACTCTTCACAGGGTCATCATAAAAAAAGTGACCAAACATACAAGAGCTTAAGACAGAAACTAGGGCTTCGGACTATTAACCCCCACTGGCACATAACTGGTGCTGCATAAACATTTGCAGAGTCAATGGGAGGGAAGTATTGGTAAATTATAAAGCACAGTGTTGATCTAAAGGGTATAGAGTAACTGACAGAAGATAAGGTAGAGCAGGAGACTTATTGAGAGTAAAGATTTGTGATTCTTAAGTGAATTAATATATGAATTAGCAAAAGAAGAAATTCTGTCCTTCAGAATAGAACAAATTTCAAATATCAAAGAAAATTTATGTAAATATTGAGCTAAACTTAGCATTTGCTGTTTGAAATTGACACATTTTAAAATGTCAAATGCTGATTATGGAAACATACCAGATTAATATCCTTTTGAGACCAGCTTGTTAGAGACTTGAGCTAGAGGTTTTTTGGTTTTTTTTTTCTTTCTTTCTTGAGTGCTAGGATTTGAGGTTATCCAGGTACTCAGAACCACCGGTCACAGTTCTGAGAACAGTTTGAACTCTTAAAACCCAGATCAGAAAAAAGCCATCTGGTGAGATTTCTAGCATGGTTTTGGTTTTCAAAGCTGCATTCCTTATAATGCTCAACAGACAGGATTTAATTTTAATTTTCCCTTTGAAATTTATTCACCTAAAGGAAAATCTAGAATTTTATGATAGAATTGAGTAGTGAAATGTCAGTTTTAAGTTTAGAATCCTAAAACGGAAGGAAATGATCTCTTGCCCTGAAGATTACTAGTAACACTAATTCTGAATTCCACATCTTGTTTCTAAAGATAGTTTTTTTAACACCTTAAAATTTTTCCAAGACCCATTCCCTCTGATTCATTCAACCCAAACACGGATTTGGCTGTGTATGGAAACCTATGCCCCTGGCCTTTGACTTCTTTTATTTAGTACTATTGCTTATAGTGAAAAGCAATTTATTGTTTTCATTAGAAAATGTAGGAAATAGACTCCCAGCTCACAGCAACTTGTAGTATGATTTAATAACTTCAGTTAGCTGGGAAGCTGGCTTGTGAACGTGCTTACTTTGGTAGCGTTAGACAAAGAGGTATTATAAACCTGAAATTCATATAAACCTTTTCATTCACCAAAAAGCTTATTTAGGATTTGTCTTTCAATATCTTGTATTTTAACCACAGAATCATATTTGAGATATAAATGAGGATTTTGAAGTACTAGATAGACTTTGGCTAATTCTGTGTGAAAAACCCAATTATATAGGTCACTCAGTTCCTTCTTCTATATATAAATTTAGAAATGTGTGCTTTTACAATCCTCTGGCTTTTAATTTAGAATGAATTAAGGCCAACAGGAGTAAATACTCTTGACATTGGCAGGAGTTATGATGTTAATTTTTAGATTTCTACTTCAGAATTCACATGGACTCTTCGTGCTGTGTTCTGTACTATCTAAACAAAGATTTCTCTTGGCTCCGGATAAATTATTATGGAGCCAAATCAACAACTAGATTCAAATAGATTATACCATTGGACTCCAAGGTAGCCTTGGGCAAGTATCTCCTCCTCTCTAGAAGTCTAGACCTCTACTAGGACCAAGTTTTGAGGAAAATAGGGACAGTAGTGGAGATCCCTTAACCCGTGGATGTTCTGGGAGAGAATGGCCTGGGTCGGGCTGGCTGCATGGGCCTCATCGATAGGCCTGGACACTCTCAGGAAGAGCCAGGGTTGAAGAAGCAGCTTCAGCTCCTGCACCACTGCGGAGGCTGCCAGGTGCCAAGAAACATTATCTGAGGAGCTGGTTACCAGTGCCCTCAGACTGGGGAAGTGGAGAGAAGTTGTGGATAACACCCCCCGGATTTTAAGATTTACAGGACAGTATGAGACAGTAAGAGGACAGGTCTTCCATCAAAACTGCTAACGTGTAATCTGACTGCCCCCTTGCAGGATTAAGTGAAAGCATTTACAGAAAGCGTGTGTCACGGGGCTGGGCACATGGTAGGTTGCAGGTCTGGGTCAGCTATGTGCGTCCGGAAGTGCAGTGGGCTGGGGGGTATCTCTGAGCTCGCCTGGTGCAAGAAATGCAGCTCACACGTCTTTCCCCAATGTCTCCATGGGCTGATGGGCTAATTCAGTTGTTTTCATTCCTGTCCCTAAGGGACACACAGAGCCCCATGTATTAATTACCAGTTAGATTTTCTCTGGGTTTCAGTGACTTCTCTTGAGACAGCTTCAAGGGATTGATGTGATGATGATCTCATGGTTTTTTTCCACTGCCAGTGCCTTTAACTCCCTAAAGGGTCTCCAGCCTTTGTCTGAATTACATAAATAAAGCTGCTCTCATTGCTAAAGGCCAGAGCTTTTGCATTTGAGTGTTTTCTCATTTTAAATTTTCCTTCACTGTATATGTTTGGTGTGCATACAAAATAATAAATACTGTAAAGAAGTGAAACACTACCCATCACTGCACTCATCCGGCGAGATGGCCTGTTGTGTACGCTGCTCTTTTACCATGCCCACACAAATATGTGTAAATTTGATAGTTTTCCTTGTTTACTAAAGTGAGATTGTATATAAATATATATACACACACATCTATCATTCTTTGTTCGTGCAACGTAACAAACAGAACTCTAGTTCAGTAATTATAGATTAAAAATGAACAGCCTAATACTCTCATGTATGGATTTTCTGTTGATTATATAATTATTCTCCAGTAGGTATACATTTAGATTATGTTTCCCCATTTTTGCTCATATACTCCTTGGCATTTTTATTTTTGTGTGTTCTATGAGGTATTCTCCAACGTAGAATATTAGGTTAAAATACCTATATTTTTAGTTAAGTGCCACATTTTCCAAAACACTGTAGCAGTTCACATTCCCAGGTGACAACATATGAATGTACATATGCGTCTCCCCTCTCCCTTCCTAGGACTTCAACTTTTTGTCTAGATGGCCACGGGAGTTGTTTTTGAATTCCGAGAACTTCACTTGGTTTTATGTCCTTGTCAGCCATGCTTTGTCAGTGTTTCCCCTGGGATGCTGCACCTTTTATTCCTTAAAATCCTTTTTTTCCCAATATTTTCTTGATTATATCTTGAAATCTTTGTTCTGTTCCACTTTTTGGGTTCTTTTTCAGGACCCCACTTATGTTGTTGATTTCCCTTTGCCTGACTTTTAGATCTGTCATTTTCCTTTCTTTGCTCACCTTTCTCCATCCTGCCCTCCAAATTCTGTGCCCTATTTTCAACCTCTTCTCTGTTGTTTCCAATGAGGCCTTTTTTTCCATGATGCTTTTGTTTAAAAAAGAAATAATCTAGTAAGCCACCTTTCAAGTGCTCAGTAAGCACATGTGCCTAGCAGCTGCCATCCTGACGGCACAGTTTCAGAAGAGGACTAAAGGCTTGGAGTTCTGTTGACCTGCCTCACTCCCCTCTGCCCCAGTTCTCCAACCCCCCAGGGTGTCTCTGGAGAAACACAAGGCCCTGACACAACTTGAAGGCCAGTGTGGTAGCAAAACCCTATCATGGAGGCGTCTCATGTAGAAATGACCACTGAGCCTGTGAATTACGCTGCCGAGTTTGGGGCCCCCCTGCCCAGCTCTGTATCAAAGGGATTAGATGGACCCTGTGGCACATAGCCAGAAAAGGATTACAAAATGCTGAAAAGCTTATCAACTGAAGTGTAGAGGCAGAGGAAAGCCTATCTGGGCAGAAGTAGGCGGTCTTCTCACAACCTTGAAAAGGGCAGCTGCTGTGTCAAGAAGTGTGAGTGTCCAGTGTTGTCTCAGGAGAGGGGCTGAGACATGATGAGTCTCTTCGATGGTCCGAGCTCCCTTGCCCCATCCCCTAATTTCTTTGGTTCTGATCCCACACTCTCCAAGCAGTCTTCGAATGATGACTGGCTTCTTGAAGAGATTTCCCAAAGTAACACAAGGTGCTCACTAGAGGACCCCCCACTACACAGTCCATTTGGCAGGTGTGTTCTTCACTCACATTAGTAAACTGGCATTGTGTTTAGAAATGAATTCCTCGGGGGGGCACCTGGGTGGCTCAGTGCTTAAGCCTCTGCCTTCAGCTCAGGTCATGATCTCAGGGTCCTGGGATCGAGTCCCACATCAGGCTTCTGCTCTGCAGGGAGCCTGCTTCCTCCTCTCTCTCTCTCTCTCTCTCTCTCTCTGCCTGCCTCTCTGCCCACTTGTGATCTCTCTCTCTGTCAAATAAATAAAATCTTTAAAAAAAAAAAAAAAAGAAATGAATTCCTCGCCAATTTTCCAGCCCAATTCCATTTTCAAAAACACCAGCTAAGCTGGGGATTTCTGAAAACTGCTGAATGGAGACACTCGGGGCCACACTGACTCCACTGAGGTACTGAGCCAGGACCTCTGAGAACCCAGCCAAGGAGGTTACACCATGGAGCAGTTAACACCACACTCTGGCCGAAACTGAACTCGAGGAATGTGGGGCTAAGCCTAAGTAATGTCTCCAAGACCAGACAAGAAGGATTAGCGTGTGACACTGGTAGGCGCTACGGAAGACATCTCCTACTAGTGCTGCTCGCTTCAAAAGGAATTGTCAGTCCCTTCAGAGTCTCGGTGGCTTCCTGCTGTTGCGTTATGGTGCCATCTCTTGGATGTAAACTGAAAATCTAGCTTCTTAAAATTTTTAGTCTCTAGTCACATGCATTTTAAAAATCCATAGTGGGGGTCACAGTGTGTTTTGGGAACTTATATTTTGCATTACAGTTAAAAGGAACTACTTAACCAAATCCCTTACCACAAATTCCTGGTGGTGGGGGGTATGCTAGCAATTCATAGCCCAGAAAAAACCTGCCTCCTGAAGTCTGAGTTTTTGGCTGTTTGGAACTTTAAACATTGCAAAGGTGCCACCTACATTCTCTGGTTCTCTCCCCCACCCCCCAAACCCTTAGACACAAAGGAGCAGGAAGAAGCTTTAGAGCTTTAGAAAATAGAGCTCTTCTCGGTGAGTGGCCTCTTTGCCTGCCGGAGGGGGTGATCTATGGTCCTGAAACCTAGAGCTGTTGCCCTGTTGCCTCCATGAGGAAAGCGGGCCTAGGGCTGAAGCTGGCCCTGCTAGCTAGAGTGAGTCAGGTAAGGAGAGAAAGTGGGTCCTTGTGAACTCACTTAGCTGCTGCATCAGGCTAACCCCTAAGCCAGCCCTGCCTCTGGACTCCCCAGGTAGTGGGCCAATAAATCCCTTTGTTGTGTAAGCCAGACAGAGCTGGGTTTCCATTAATTGTCAAGGAAAGCATCCTAACAGTGATCCATGTAAAACAAAACAAAAGAACCACAAGTAAAATGCCGCTAGCGCACACGCTGGAATGTATGGGGAGAGTGGGAAAAGTTCTGAAGCTGAGATCTGGTACAGTAAACTACTTTTGGGGGCAATATGGCATAATGGCTTTGAAAAGAAGGCAGCTGAGCATAACTCATGTTCTGCCATTAGTACTGGCTATGCTCTTGGGTAATCCAAGTGACTCTTCTCGTCCTTGGCTCCTATCAATAGAATAATAAGAGTTGTAAAAGATAATTTTTATTATTAGTCCTTGGGGATTTTGTATTTTCAAACATTTTGTCTACCAATATATTTTCTCAGGTACTTAGACAAAAGCACAAAACTGCTTTGATTCTGATCAGCAAAGGTAATGAATTTATTATTTACCTGACCAAATCACTGTAATTTGCATTGGATATTTAAAAACAAGGCATTTATTACTAGCTTTTGAACCTTTAATGTAGGAGAGATTCCTGATAGGCTTTTACAAATATGGAAAGTAGCTTCCAGGCCCTCTTCTTTTAAGGATCTTTGGAGATTCACAGGAACTACCAGATTTGAAGACTACACCCTCCAATGAGGACAAAAATTCAGTGACTTCCCCAAAATAATTAATAGTAAATTACAAGTCCTGAAAACTCTTAGTTTTTCGCAAAATGCTCCATAGTTTTCAAAAGACAAAAAAGGCATTTTTGTATGTAGATAAGCCTTTTAAAATATAAAGACAGACCACAAAGCGGTGTGACAGGTTTTTTTCTGTCACTTGTAAACTCCAGACAAGGCAATCCTCAGAACCCTAGAGGTGCTGTGGAAATCTCTTCATTTACGATCGGCATAAAATGCGGCCAGGAGTCAAGGGACCATGGTTCTGGCTGCCATCCCTCATGGTGTGATCCCGAACAAGTCTCTGAACTTCTGGAGAGTGGAAGCCCCATCACGGGATCAGAGGGGTGACAGGTCATCCTGAAGGTGTCTTCTAGCTCTGTCATTGTGTAATGCGATGAAATCGGACTGATGTGTTCCAAACTCTTTGGACGTCAGAACCTACACTGAACATACAGTACTTTTAAAATTCCTACTTCTCTTCTGAGTCCTGTTCTTAAATTTTTTTTTCATGTTCTTCAGTGCCCTGAGGTATATTTTCCTACTGAACAGCCTCTTCACGAATAGCAATTAAAATGCTTCTTGAGGACATACTTCTCATAACTCGCTTTTATTGTTTTTCAACTTGCTGCTTTAATTTCTCCAAGATCTCCTCTGCATTTGTGGACGCTAACAGCTTCACCACTTTTTCACGAGATTTACCGCCCTGTACCAAAAGCAAAAAATGGTGTCAGGACGACTCACCAAACAGAGAGCGTGGGGCTCGGCCGTGTCCTCAGGGCTGCCCTGCGGCCGCAGGCTTCCTGACTGCTGAGCTACAGCGCCTTCTCCTGTCAGTTCTGCATTCCTGGTCTAACCGATGAGTGCATCTTATGGTCTGCCTTACTACAGATGTTGACAATTCTCCAGGGTTTTTACCTTCATACATCAATCTCTCTAATAAAAACTGGCATTCAAATTTCAAAACGAATAGAGTCCAGACGTAGAATACTGTGTTTTTAAGTAACTTTTTTGTTTGAAAGTGAAAATTATTTTCTAAATTACCAAATATTGGAATTTTCTATAAACTTTGTATAAAAATAATTCCAAATACAGAACTATTCTGTTACACATTTCTGAAAATTCAAAAAAAAAAAAAAAACCAAAAACCCACCCACCAAAACAAATGCTCCAATTCCACAACCAACTGAGCCAAGAATTTCATTTGGAAACATCCTTTAAAGAAGGTAAAATCTGAGCAGGGATCATCTATTGGGGTAGAAGAGTGGGAAGCCCCTTTCAGGCCAATGTCAGAGCGTATGCAGTGACAAAATCAGAAATGACCTGCCACAGGCGGGAGAGCTATTGAGGGAAGTGGCCCAGGGGAGAGATTTTTAGATGCAGCCTATTAACCAACGACCGACTGCCAGCAAGAACCTGGATGCAGAGAGTGAGCCACCAGCAGCACGGCTGAGTCCCACTCCTGCAAGTTCTCTTTCAGTAAGTCTTGAGTGACACCCAGGAACGTGTGTTGTACACCTCACTCCCAGGCGACCTGATACCCACCCCCAGAGGAAACCCATGATATTAATGACTTCATCTCTTCCTCTCTCTTCCTAATGAGCTTCTCCAGGGAGCCAGGATAACGTGGGGGACCAGAAACATGTGATACGAGTCACTAAAGGACCCTTTCAGACTTCTTAGCATGGTGATGACTTGAAGAGACAGACAGATCAATCTGACAGCAGGTACAGGAATACACGTAGAAAGGAGAAAATGCTCAAAATGGTCGCAACCAAGGAATAAATGTACAGAGCGTGGTCAGCCTAAGGATCAAGCCAGTAATAATGAAGGTGACTACACAGAATTCACACATTTTAGTGATTAAATGGATGAGAGTTAAAAAAAAACAAAACACAAAAAACCCTAGCTTTTCAATTATTTGGAAAAGAAAGAACCCATATTTATAAAATAATGACTGATGTGTAATCATCAAAGCTGTTTCCAGAGAGACCTACCTTATCCAAAACCACGTCACTCTTCCTGAGCTCCAAGACCTTGGAAAGGTACCGACAGAGCTCAGCATTAGCCTCTCCTTCTGACGGGGGGGGCTGCTATGGCCACGCTCACCGCTTCCGCTGTCACGTCTGGAATGAAATCAGTGCGGACTGTGTCCTTAAGGAGTGAGGATATTTTGCAAAAGGGTTTGCATTTCCCTGGCACAGAGTGGGTTTTCCATCAATAACTACTGCGTGAAGAAATGAGCGAATAAACTACTCACACCTGAGGGAACGTTATAATAAATACGGCTCCCCCGTTTGAGGAAAGAAATGCAGAGAAAATGGACATTTTCCCTGTCCTGCAGACCAAGATGGGCCCGGACTCCTTCCTGGGCCTCACGCAACTGGAAACTGCCGGAGTGGTACACAGAGCCCTACGGTAGGATCAGGAGCCGGGTGTGAACGAGCCAGCCCACAGGTCCCGCCATCAGGAAAATGAAAGCACTGGACTGATTCAGCTCACGTGAAATGCCTCTAAGGTTTTTAAAATGCAGCATTTAAACATTTACACAGCACTTGTATCCACTAATTCGATGGCACAAAAACACGTTTTAGGGACTTCACAAATATTAACTTGTTCAATCCTCATAAGAGCTTTATGAAGAAAATATTAATGCCACTATGATCTCCGGTTTACAAAAGGGGAAACAAATCCAGATTTGCCCAAGGGCACGTGGCTATAAAGCGATGTTGAGAGTCAAAGTTAAGTTTAAATGCATGCTTTGACATGCTGGGCCAAAGAGCTTTGCTCTGGAAGAGTACTCCTGCCTCCCTGGTCGATGCGGCCTCTATAAAGCACGCCTGCCCCTAGGCCCCCATGGTTATTCCGGAGAGAGAGAAATGTCTACTCAAAGGGATTTGCAAGTGAGCTGAAGCTGGTCCCCAGCTGGGGTTATGCAGGCATTTTCACACACTTACACCATGCCCGTGTGAACGACATGGCCACAGAATGAATAAGCACAAAGTGGCACAACAAGCCGCCTCCTGTCCTGTCGCCAATTACCATACTGCGATGTGCCCTCTTCCGCATTTTAGTAGCTTTCACATCCAGACGGGTCTCACAACAGATGGTAAAGAAAGTGTTCACATGGATTCTGTCTCGCAGGTATACAGAATACTTGTGTACCTTCTAGTGGCTGGCATCTCAAGACCTGACGACACACGGTATACCGGCAGCGGACCGTCAGCCGCAACTACTCCGAAAATGCTGGCCACAGTGGGTGCGGCCCACACAGGCTAACGCAGCCACTAGCACAAACCAGGCCCAGCACCCCAATTAGGAGGTCTTGTTTTCAAAGTGTAAAAAAAGAAAAGGAATAAAGAGCTTTGGAGGAGAAAAAGACCTTCACAATAATTCAGATCAATGGTTCTCAAACTTTTTCCCCACCCAGAATGCCACCTCCCACACAAGTTCCCCTGGACTCCCCACATTCACAGTAAATGAAAACACAGCTACTCAGGAGCCCTGCCTGCTGGCCTCCCGGTGTCCACCTAAGAGATCCCTGAGGCACCTTTTTGGGCTCCAGGGAATCACCTGAAAGCCTCTTAGTTCAATATCCCTTCCAACAGATAGAAAGAACTGGGCCCAGAAAAGTTTTGCATTTAACTCAAAACAAGTTCACACAGGAGCTGACGACCAGGGCTCTCAGAGACCAGATTTTCTCTTCCTCCTTGGTCCCGTGGTCTTTAAACTCAACCAAAATGTCTCTTCTTTCTTTCTCTGGCCAATGTCTCCAGTTCTGAAATAGGAGAAACTAATAATTCTAGGCTACATATCTTTCTAGATGTGTCCTTTCTAAAATACCATTTTTATTTATTTTTAAAGATTTTATTTATTTATTTGACAGAGAGAGATCACAAGTAGGCAGAGAGGCAGGCAGAGAGAGAGGAGGAAGCAGGCTTCCTGCTGAGCAGACAGCCCGATGTGGGGCTCGATCTCAAGACCCTGAGATCATGACCTGAGCCGAAGGCAGAGGCTTTAACCCACTGAGCCACCCAGGCGCCCCTAAAATACCATTTTTTAAAGGATTTTTTATTTATTTGACAGACAGAGATCACAAGTAGGCAGAGAGGTAGGCAGAGACGGTGGGGGGGGGGCAGGCACCCTGCTGAGCAGAGAGCCCTATGCGGGGCTGGATCCCAGGACCTTGAGATCATGACCTGAGCTGAAGGCAGAGGCTTAACCCACTAAGCCACCCAGGCACCCCTAAAATACCGTATTTTTAAAAAGGAAAATATACAATGGTTTTTTCCATCGAACTTGGTACGCTGTAACTGTGGTATATTCATTCACTTTTGACATTGGATTTACACCTTTACATTAATTCTAAAACGGGGACGCTTCTAATTGCAGATGTGAGAAATACACCAACTGTAGATCAACCTTCAGCTCACCAAGGCAAAGGGAGGACAGAGGGGGACTCCTCTCCCCCGCTTATGCCCCCCCCCGCCCCCAGTGTCCACATATACCTGTGACAGCGTTTTGTTTGGACCCGGGTTTGGCATGGATGGCTATGGTGACACAACCTTTAGGATCAACTGCCACAGGACCTAAGGGAGGAAGTGGTCTCTCTGGTTCCTTGCTCTGGCTCTTACCCTAAAACGACAACAACAACCACACTACAACTTTACAGGCTATAAGACACCTTCCCACACGTTCGAGCCTTCCACGACTCCCTTTCTCTTTAAACCAGGACGAGCTAGTCGCGCCCGGGCATTTCTGGCCACCTGGAAAGGTTTAACGAGCATCCCCAACCAATTCTCGCACGAAGCCCTCGGCTGAACCCAACCGAGTGTTCTTCCGCGCTTGGAAGACGGGATTCTGGCTCCCACACCTCAGTGCTGGTCCCCAGGCGCAGGGACCGCTTCTTACTCGTCCTTGCGTCTCCGGCAGCACGAGCTGACAAACTGCTGTGCGCAACCAGGCGGTTAGAGTGTGTGGGGACAGGAAGGGCCGGCCGCGGTCCCGAAGGCCTGCCCAGCGACGGAAGCTGCGGCCGGACTCCGCGTGCAGCGGGGCGGCAGGTGCGCGGACGGTGCGCACACGGGGGGCGAGGACGCGAGGCGCGCACCGGTGGCCCAGCGCGGGAAGGCGCCTCCCCGGGCCTCCGACGCCGGGGGACGCTGGCCCTGCGGGGACGCGGCCGTCCGGACAGAGTGGGGCGGCACAAGACCGCAGGAGCCCCGGGTCTGGGGGGGCCGTGAGCCGCGGGCCCCGCCTCTCTCCCTCACGCCGCCCACCCTCCCCCTGCTACGGGGCTTGCCACTGGCCTTGTTCGTCGCACCGGCTTTCTTGGGCATCTCGGCGCTTAAGGAGAGCCGGGCAGAGGCTCGGAGCCCGCGTCCCGACACTAGCGGCCCCAACCCGCAGCCCAGCCGCAGCATCCCCGCGGGGGAGCCGGGCAGAGACGAACTGGCGCCGGAAGATCCCTCTGCGCCTGCGCACGCGGGCAGGAGCGGCTCCGCAGGCCCGCGTCTGCGCTCCCGCCCCAGGGCGACCCCTCCCGGCCGGCGGGAGCATGACCCCTCGTCCTGAACAGCAGCCCAGGACTGGGACGGAGAGCTGGGGCTTGGATCCCGTAGTGAGGGATGGCCTCCCCAGACTCCCCTGGGAGGAAGACTGTGTTACCGCTGGTCTTCTCTAGCCTCCTGAGAACAAAGGATAGCAGGGAGCACAGTCCATGTGTGGATGGAGCACCTGCTTTGTGCCCGGCGCTGAGGACTCCACAGTGTGAGAGGAGAGGAAATACTCTGAGGGGCGATGTGGCAAGAGATGAGGCGGGAGGCGGGGCGGGGGGAGGAGAGAAGGACCTGCCGCTCAGACGACGGCAGTGGGGCCGAGAGCGAAGAGTGGATCGTCTCTGGGACGTTCAGGAGCTGCGGCTGGGGGAGGAGACCTGGGTTTATAGTCTGCCTCCCCCCGACGACCTTTTGAAACATGCCATCTCTCTGCCCGTGAAGTGGGTTTTATAACAGTCTCCCCTCATACTGATGGGAGGCACAGAGGTGAGCTCCTCAGTGCACAGCCAGCACCCAGCGACCACTCTGGTGTCTATGAACACCAAATAACCATCCCAGAATGACAGGACATTCTCCCACCTCCTGAGATTAGATCAAGAGAGAAAAACTGGAGGCCACAAAAAAGGATCAAGCAGCAGAGAGAGGGCAGCACCGATTCCCGCATTCCAGTGACTCACTCCAAGGCGGCAGTGAGGCACTCTCACTTTGTGTTGAATTACCTCCATAAATTAAAGATAAGGTTAAACCTCAATCAGCTAGAACCCTTGTTCCCAGTGTCTTTCACTCAACTTTCAGAAGAAAAAGACAAGTGACAAAAACCTAAAAGGATAATAGATATTTATTTATAAAATTCCAGGGGATGTCCCATATCAGTAAACAGTTCCGTTGCTTATCCCTTCTACAGCTACCTTCAGTGACAATCATTGTTCAGTGCAACATACTTGAAAAGCATTTGAAATGCCTCAAATGTCAAAAAAACATTAACCGCCGTACCCAGGGCATGCCATACATCGTAAGGTAGAATTACCTTCCGTAACAGTTACTATCGGGTGTTTGCTGGTTAATCTTTAATCGGAACCACACATTTCATCAATATTCCAGTTAGCTGAGGTTTATATCCACAAGATACCAGAGATAGAAAAATGTCCCTTCTTCAGCAATTTTGAGACCTCCACCACCAACACACCTTACTACCTTCTTGAAAATATAAAATGAAGTACTATTTTAGATGAAAATTTTTTATGTCCTAATTACTATTATTTAGAAAACCTTAATTCGTTTTAAGTTGTTACTTAAAAGAACTGACTTTTAACCATCTTCCCAAACTATTTGCATATCTTAAACTTAATTACACATAAGCTTTTTTTTTTTTTAACAAGATAATCACTTTGGAGGGAAAAAGAGAATGTTATTTATATAAAAAATTTGCTTTATAAAAAAGTATACAAATGTTATTCTACCAGATATACTCCCCATCCCCTCCTAATACAGCTGTACCTGTGACATGAGCTGAGGTCAGAAATATGAAACATATCTTACTTCCTGGGTAGAACTGTGTAGGTGACAGAAAGTATACTTTTCAGCAGGAATGATTCTGTTGGCTATCTTTAAAATCTCAAAGTAGTCGTTAGAAAGGTCAGTATTTTATTCAGTTTCCTGTTATTGTAAGATTATCGCCACAATGCTGAACTGATGCTGGCTAGCTGGTGGCCCCCAGCAGCGCCGCCTCGACCTCGGGCATTCTCAAAGGCACCCCCCACGGACACACGGAGTACAATGGTACAGTTTAGTGATAAAGAATCCAGTCTTAGACTCTATCTTTAGATCCTCTGTTTATGTCACATTATTGTGAATCTGTACAAACTCCATTTATAGTTTTAAATTGTACTATGTAACACGACTAATATACTACTATAAAATATCCTTTTTTGTAAATACATGGAGAATGCTCTTGGGCATTTATTAGGCCTACTTCTAGCAATATTCTGAATGCTAACGACCAGATACTTCAAAACTCCGAATATAAGGTCAGTTTTCTTAATTTTCTGAAATTAGTTATGTGAATTAATAGGAATTCTGTAGGAATACTGACCTGTCTCATTCCATATAACCTTCAGAATAGATAAGCCTGTTTAAATCCAACTCACCTAAACTTCACAACAGTTGAAAGAACGACAATAACAACAACAACAATGAAACCAGCTGTCTGAAACTAGAATCTTTCTATAAAACTATGAAAAGACCATGAGTCAGCTGATTTATTAAATTATACAAGGTAAAGCTGAAAGCTGCATTTTTTTTTAAACACTTATGCCCAGTTCTCTTTTCCTCTAAGGTTATAAGAAAATGTAAAACTCCTTTTAAACCATGCACAGAGTTAAATCAACATTTTTCATATCCTCTAAGAAACTAAAATGTTTCTTATAAATATTATAAATATTCATGACACTGAAACTATTTTTTGTGGCCAGTTTTTTATGCCTTTGAGACTAGATGGTACGCTACTATTTAGCCAAAATGTCCAGAATGCTGAATTATGTATAAAATATTATTTCTGGTATCTGTCCATCTTCTATTGACGTGCCATTATTATTGCCGGGAGAACTGAAAAAGAAAAAAACAGTCTTGCTAGCAGTAGGTGTCTCATGCATGACTTTCTTCAATCCTTTTGTGCCATAGTGGGAGTCTGGACCCTAAATGAGAACAAAAGGTTCATTAGTAATTTTCATTTCATAAGCACTCAATTTAATGTGGTGCTTTAATTAGATTAATGATCTATTATATTGCGTTATAATCCTTGTATGAAATTTTATGCTAAGCCATTTCATGGAAAATGAAGTTTTTGCTACAAAGTCAGTTAACTAGTAAAAATCTGAATGTAGAAGTCAGTTTTTAGGTAACAGTGAACGGTTTTAAGAAAATAATTATTTTATCTTCTGTCAAACATTCAAACTCCTACTCAAGCAAAGGGCTAGTTCTTGTGAAGAAGAACATTTCTGAGCAGAGCTGTGCTGAGAAGCACTAGAGCACTTTAACTCCCAGCCTCCTTCCTTCCCCTCTTCCTAAAGGCTTTATTGTCAGGGACTCTCATTGTCTGTGGAAGACCCCTCTGTAACATGCAAGGGGAAATCCACCAGTTCACCCTCTGGAACATTCTGGAAGACTTACTTTGAGTGTCGCGCATGCCGTATAGCACACATTGGGCAGGATCTCTATGGGTTCTTTGAACATGACCCTGAATGTGTTAGCAGTCCCATCACAACTGAATCCAGTATCGTTCTGTCCCAGGGTTTGTTTCTTTTCATATTCAATGATCTGTAAGTTTTCAAAGAGAAGGTACACCTCAGTTACATTACCTGAAGCCAGGATTCACAGAAAGGAGTACGGAGCCCTGAGGAACAGCGACTGCGTCCCTGTCGTGTAATTCTTCTGTACTTACTGCGAACCCCCCGAGACGTCTCTAATAGGTTGTTAAGAGCAGGGGGATGCCAGCTAACTGGGGCCGGGCTCCGACAGAGGGGTTTCCACAGAAGACACACAGCTCGGGAGACTGCTTTTTAGAGCATCTGAATTTTATTTTTTATTTTTTATATTTTTTAAGATTTTTGTTTATTTGACAGAGAGACAGAGAGACAGAGAGATCACAAGCAGGCAGAGAGGCAGGCAGAGAGAGAGGGAGGAAGCAGGCTCCCTGCTGAGCAGAGAGCCCGATGCGGGGCTGATCCCAGGACCCCGAGACCATGACCCGAGCCGAAGGCAGAGGCTTTAACCTACTGAGCCACCCAGGCGCCCTGAGCATCTGGATTTTAGACACTGAGGAAAATGGGCCTCTACTCCTCGCTAGCCTGTGTCTTGCCACTAGAAAATTCCCTCAGCATTTCCTGTTATTTGCTGAGATTAAAATGACCTGAAATTCGGGTACGCAGATACTGAAAATGTGAACATCGTGTGTTTTCGATTTAGCTCCATACTCTGAGCCAGGCCGCAAGGACACCCCCTCACGGAGCTTCCCGGCACCGGCCGTGTACGCGGGGCGCTTCAGCACGGCGCCTGCAGCAAGCGCCCGCGGAGGGCGAAGCGGCTCCACCCAGGACAATTTTACTCCATCGCGAAGGGGTGAGGCTGCACAGAGGAGAGTTTTAAAAGCTCCAGTCAGAGCTTCCCAGGACACAAAATCTGTGTGAGGGAACAGGCCGCGCAGAGGCCGAGGCTCGCAGAACCGCCTTTTCGCACCCATCAGACAAACACAGGGCAGTGGTCATCTCTGCAGGGACGGTGACTGGAAAGCTCACAAGGGGTCCCCCGGGGCGCTCTAAGGCCCTGTTCCTTGATCTGGCTGCCGGCTGCACAAGTGTAGTCAGTGTGTGACAAGCAAGCCACGTGTGCCACTTAGAAATACATGTACTTCCCTAAACGTCCCGCACAGTTCCATATAGAACTTAAAACTGGGGCGCCTGGGTGGCTCCGTCGGTTGGGTGACTGCCTTTAGCTCAGGTCACGATCCCGGGGTCCTGGGACTCAGTCCTGCATCAGGCTCCCTGCTCACCAGAGAGCCTGCCTCTCCCTCTCCTTGTGCACACGCTCTCTGTCAAATAAATGAATAAAATCTTTAAAAAGCAAAACAAAGCAAAATAACGCGTAAAACTGCGGCAGGCTGGTGCCCCCCCACAGCAGACCCCTACACTTCTCTGAACCCCAGTCACACTGGTTCACTGGGAGGAACACTTGCTTCGCCTTCTCCCTAAGGCTGCGGGGAGAATGCCATCAGAAGCTGTACGGCGGGCGCCACGGCTGCCACAGCAGACAAGGAAACTGAGGCTGGGAGACGCTGCCTGACGTGGCTACCGTCACACCTCAAGGTGGTGGAGC